CCATATCCATATCAAGCATCTCATCCCCACAACTGGACTGTCAGATGGAGACATGAGAAAAAATGGACCAGAAAACGTATTTGAATTAATAAGGCAAAAAAATTCCAAGTTTAATGCAAACTATGAACTCCCAGAACCATATCAAGTTACATTGTAAGGGAAACTGCTAAAAATTGATAAAGAAAAAAATCTTAAAAGAAAAAAGGAAGTAAAAACCACAGTACACAAACAAGAACAAAGCAGAATTCTTCTGAGACTATGCAATACCGAAGATAATGAAATGACATCTTTAAAGTAATGTGGATATGGGAGGGAAACTATTCACTTAGACTTTTATACTAAGCAAGGATATCTTTCAAAATGCAGGCAAGATAAGGACTTTTTCAGAACAACAAAAGAATTTGTTGCCAAAAGATGTGCACTACAGTCAATGTCAAAAGAATTTTTTCAGGTAGAAAAAAAATACTAGAAGTAGTATAGTATTACTTTAATTTAGGCTGTGATCAGTTAAAGATGTAAGTTATAAATCTCAGAGTAAAAACAAAAGTAGAATAAAAATTAAAGTAGAATGGTTAATGGTTAACCATTAATTAACTAAGCCATTTAGAAATTAGAAAAAATATTAAGTCTATAAGTTGACCCAAAAAGAGAAAGTAGAATCAGAAAAGAGATGGACAAATAGAAAACAAATAGTAAGATAGTAGCCTCAAACTCAAGCTTGTCAATAATTATATGTAATGTAAATGGTCAAATTTCTGTCAATTGAAAAAGCAGAGATTATTAGACTAGATTAAGCAAGTCTCATCTCTGTATGTCTATATAAAGCATACTTTCAATATGGTCATATAAGTGAAAACAAAATATTAGACAAAGATTTGCCATGAAAACACAATTGATAAGAAAATAAACTGAAGAACCAGGACAATTTCCAGAGATAATGACAACCAATCATAATGATAAAGGGGCAAGTCATCACAAAGACATAACAACCTAAATGTGTGTGTTGTTTAGAAGTTTTTTAAACCTGCAAATTCTTTTAATTTATCAAGATGTAGGTTTCAATATATGAGGCAAAAACTAATACAACTAAAATAAATAAATAAATCCACAAGTATAATTCCATATTGCAACCTCCCTCCCTCCCTCAGAAAGTGATAGAAGAAGAAAACTTGAGAAACATTAATTACCAATTTGACTTAATTTATTTAGAACCACATACACTGAATAACCAGAGAACACATTTTTAATGCATATGGTATAATCACTAAGACCACATTCTTAGTCCCAAAACACATTTCAATAAATTAAAAGAATTGCACAATAGTAACAAAAACAGCATGGTATTGGCACCAAAATACACTTATAAACCAGTGGTACAGAATAGAGAACACGGAGACAAACCCACATAAGTACAGTTATCTCATACTAGACAAAGGTGCCAAAAACATACAATGGAGAAAAGATACCCTCTTCAACAAATGGTGCTGGGAAAACTGGAAATCCATATGCAACAAAATGAAATTAAACCTCTATCTCTCACCATGCACAAAATTCAACTCAAAGTGGATCAAGGACCTAGGAATTAAAACAGAGACACCGCACCTATTAGAAGAAAAAGTAGGCCCAAATCTCCATCATATTGGATTAGGTCCCAACTTCCTTAATAAGGCTCTTATAGTGCAAGAATTAAAATCAAGAATCAATAATTTGGGTGGATTCAAATCAAAAAGCTGCTTCTCAGCAAAAGAAACAATCAGTGAGGTGAATAGAGAGCCTACGTTTGGGGAGCAAATTTTTACCACAGGCACATCAGATAGAGCATTAATCTCTAGGATATATAAATAACTTAAAAATCTTAACACAAAAAACCAAATAACCCAATCAATAAATGGGCCAAGGAACTAAACAAACACTTCTCAGAAGATGATATACAATCAACCAACAAATATATGAAAAAATGTTCAACATCTCTAGCAATTAGACAAATGCAAATCAAAACTACTGTAAGATTTCACCTCACTCCAGTCAGAATGACAGCTATTAAGTATACAAACAACAATAAATGTTGGCGAGGTTGTGAGGGAAAAGGCACACTCATATATTGCTGGTGGTACTGCAAATTGGTGCAGCCAATGTGGAAAACATTATGGAGATTCTTTGGAAAACTGGGAATGGAACTAACCTTTTGACCCAGCTACCCCACTCCTCGGTCTATACCCAAAGGACTTAAAAACAGTATACTATAGGGACACAGCCACATCAATGTTTATAGCAGCACAATTCACAATAGCTAAACTGTGGAACCAATCTGAATGCCCTTCAGTTGATGAATGGATAAAGAAAATGTGGTGTATATATACACAATGGAATACTATTCAGCATTAAAAGAAAATAAAATCATGGCATTTGTAGGTAAATGGGTGGAGTTGGAAAATATAATGCTAAGTGAAGTTAGCCAATCCCCAAAAAACAAATGCTGAATGTTTTCTCTGATATAAGTATGCTGATCATAATGGGGTTGTTTGGGGAGCATGGAAGGATTAGATTAGATGAACTCTAGATAGAGCAAAGGGGAGGAAGGGGAAGGGATGGGGCAGGGGAGTAGGAAAGACAGTGGAATGAGATGGACATCATTACCCTAAGTACATGTATGAAGACATGAATGGTGTGACTCTACTTTGTGTATAACCAGAGATGAAAAATTGTGCTCTATATGTATAATATGAGTTGTAATTCAATATGCTGTCATATGTAACGAATTAGAATAAAAAATAATTTTAAAATTTTCAAACTTTAAAAATTTTGAAGCAACACCCTACCAAAAGGTATTATTCACATAAAAACATAGTAGACATCTATTGATTTTGCAGCTAAGGATTACAAATTCCTTTCATCACCATTGCTTTCAAATTTTTTTTTCTCACCATATATAGTAGCACATGTATGTAATCACAGTTACTCATAAGACTGAGGCAGGAGGATTACAAGGCCTGGATTGAATGAGGCCAGCCTGGGCAATTTAGTGCACTAAATAAAATAAAAAGGTCTGGAGATGTAGTTCAATGATAGAATGTTTGCCTAGCATGTGTGAGGCCTTGAATTTATTTTTATTCAAAAAATTATTGTTCTCAAAACTATATTTCTATTTAAACATTATAGTAAGCAAACACTAAGCCTGAGATTATTAAAATGTGCACCATTAAAAATATAAATATCTTTGCCCTCTTTTCAATGTTAGGATTCATGTGAGATTTTATTCGGTGGGGGGAGAGCACTATTGCTAAAAATAATCAATAATAGATAGATTTGAAATCCCTAACTTATCTGGAACATCCATGCCAATTGGCATGTTATAAATTTATTCTGTCTGATTATTGTCAGCCAGCCAAGAGAATAGAAATACCAACAAATAACAATCACAATCACACAGCACCACTGGCAAGAACTTTCTAAACAGCTTCCTAAAGAGGAGGCATTGTTCTAAGTACTTCTCATGCTTTTAATTCTTGCTCTTACTTTCGTCCCATTTTACAATTGAGGAAATTGAGAAGTTTCAATACTTGCTGAGATGACACGTCCCCAGTGCCCAAGTCAGAGCCTAGTAAAGCTATAACCAGGAAGTTTTCCATTTTTAAAACCAACGTCAGACACACTGGCATTAGACACAAAAACTGCATGATTTCCTCCTTCAGCACTTTGTGAAGTGTTTAATTGGTTCTCTTTTGCCTTGACTTAAAATTTGCCTCTTCACTGGTCTGTCTTGTTTGATAAGTTCATCAAACATCAAGACTCTTTGCTCATTTTCAAAAAGGATTACAATGATAAGCTTTTATAATTAAGAGTATCTCAGCAGAGATTTCCTTTTCCACAGTTCTCTTGCCTTTATCTTCTAATTATTAGAGATGAATTTTCTGATTTTTTTTCAAAATTATATTTGCTTTAAATACAAGTTACAAATTAACTGCTTATAAAAAAGCTTTCCCCCTTTCTGAACTGTTACTTAAAGGAAATCCCTCTTGTTCTCACATTTAAAAGCAATAATGATTCAAAATTGAATTATTTAATAAGAATTTGAATAAAAATAGCTCTATTTAAAATCTTCAATGGTTAGGTGTCAGGGACTGCTTAAAAGCTATTCCAAAGATGAAATAAAGGGCTGGTATACACTCTGCAAAGTATTTGATGTTAAGATATAAACAACACGAAGCCAGGTTGGAAATCTCCAAGAAATAGAACAGCTAATGTGCACATAGAAATATCACCTCTGCCAGTTACCCCCAACAAAAGGTAAACTCATTTTCAGAATGATACAACTGAGCAATCTACTGTCTCTTGACATTCCCCAAAATAATATTGAATACATTATCTAATTTTATCCTTCCCAACACTGAGGCAGGTATTTTTATGCTTCTCTTATAGATAAAGAAGTTAACCATCTGACATTTCTTTCTTTTTTTAAAAGAGAGAGAGAGAGAGAAAGAGAGAGAATTTTTTAATATTTATCTTTCGGTTTTTGGTGGACCCAACATCTTTATTTTATTTTTATGTGGTCCTGAGGATCGAACCCAGCGCCCCGCGCATGCCAGGCGAGCGCGTTGAGCCACATCCCCAGCCCACCATCTGACATTTCTTAAGAGAACTACCATTAATCAGGTGCCTACTATACTGAGTACATTTTAAATGCAGGGATTTATTTCACTGTTTAACACAAGTAGAAGAGCCATTATTATTCTCATTTTACAGATAGGGAGACTGAGGATCACAGAGATTAAGTGGCTTGCTCTAGATTACCCAGCTCCTGAGGATGAGAGCTATGACTCAGGCACCGGCTGATTTGACTTACAGTGCAGGGCCTTTGCCCTGCCCCATCCTTCTGCACTGGAGTAGTCATAACAGGAAAAAAGATTACATTCCAGCCTAACACAGCCTGTTGCAAACTCCAAAGTGTCTTGTTCCCCAGCCGGTGACCCCTATTTCGCAGAGACATCAGGCCCACTTACTGGTTCACCTTCTCCTGTGTCGTTACCCCCAGCTGCCAAGTCACCAAATACAAGAGGAGGAAAGCAATAGCAAACATCTCATCCAGAAGCCACCAGCTTACATTAACTCTAAGGAATAAAACTGTTCAGGAAGGTGGAGTCAAAGATGTCTACAGGCTAGGACCTGTGACATCTATCCAATGTGGAAAACTAACAGAACTCCCTCAATTCCCACTCAAATGGGATTAACCAATAACCAGGCTATTGATTAGCCAAACACTTTAAAAGTGGCCCAGACTCTAAAGGCCACTGCCCTTTAAACCTTTTGAAAAAAAATATCCACATGGTTAAGGAAAGCTGATATTTAACCAATATCAGATTAGCAAAGAGATTTTATTTTCAGATAGAAGCAGAAAAAACCCCAAGCTGGAGTTGCAGAAATCCTGGCCTTTCTGAAGGTTTCTTGGAACTTTTGATGTCAGATCAATCTGTTTTGCAAGAATGAAAGAAGACTGGTATATTAGTTCAGACATAAGCAACCAGAAAAAAAAAATGTAGGAAATACTCATAGTTACACTGAGGTTCTCCTATATATTGCTAAACATCTGGAGCCTGAGAAATATGTGTAATTCAGTGGACTTGCCACTTTTTGTATGCAAATAATTAAGATCTACCTTTCTGAAACAGATATCTCCAGGAGACCCCTCTAGAATTATAATGTCAATAATAGCCACACATCTTCACTGATGATGCCATACCTGCATCTGATCTCTTATTTTTCCAAACATAAATTAAACTAAATTAATAGAGATGGACAGATGGAGAGACAGCAATTAAACATCTACTATGTGGTAGGCATTTCATTTATTTAATCCTCACAACAAGTCTATGGCATGAAAATCATAAACTCCAGTTTGCAGTTGAAGAAATGGAGGCCCAGAGAAGTTAATTAACTTGCCCAAGGATGTACAGCTGTCTCAACATCCCTGGGGAGATCTAGATTCTCTCATTAGCAGGATGAGCCTGTTGCATAATTGTTAAAGATGGGGGAATGTGATGCCTAACTTGTAAGCCTAAGAAATGTGTGCCTGGTTTACATGTGAAGATTTTAGAAAGGCAACCGAGGGTCACTGCTTCCCTTTCCTCAGAAGTCTAGGTAATGCTTGGTAGAAGCCAATATTGACCCTGAGCCCCTGCCCTGTGTGTCTCCTCCTCTCACCTCTCTGACTCATGGGTCCTCTTGGCCTCATTTCTTCCCTATTCAAAACCATTTGGAAAACTGCTTTGTCCCTTTTCCACATGTCAGTCACAACTGGTGTTCTGTATGCTTTCAAGATCGATATCACACTTGGACACCCTTGGACCAGCATGGGATGGTACATCTGGACTCCAACTCTTTCCACCACTGTCCCACATCCCTGTCCCATTCAAGGTCCAAATTCCTGACACAGGACCCAAGAGCCCCCAGGGAGTGGGACTCAGTTCCCTTCCTTAGCTGTCATTCTGGGGCATAGACCTCCTCTACCACAGTGTTCTCAACTGGGGGTGAAATTGCCCCTCTGGGGGAGATTTAGAAATGTCTAGTGATGCTTATGATTGTCACAACTTGGGGCTGTTCTACTGGCATCTGGTTGGTAAAGGCCAGGGGTACTGCTAAACATCCAGAGCGCCCAGGACAGTCCCCACCACAAGGAGCTCTCCTACCCTAGGCTGGGAAAGCTGCCCACCCAAGGCTGGTCTGCCTCCCCCGCCCCTGGCATCCTGGTGGACTGACCATTTTACATATAGGCAACTGGTATCTTCTTTCTCAAGCAGATCCTTCTTGAAATTTCTCTGGTGACTTTGCTCCTGACCCAGGATCTTGGTGGCATTCAGGGATCCTACTTAACCTTCAGTTACATCTACTCTCCCCCAACATGGTCACTGAAATCCTCTCCTATTCCCCTGTGATGTTTCCCCCTCCTGCCTTCATCTGAAACTCTTCTGACTCCTCGTGGGCCTCTGTTTCTCCTCCAAACCTCCCCCCTCCTCTGCTGGATTCATCTTCAAGAAAGCTGGCTCTGACTGCACTCCCCTGCTTCCCACTGTCTATAAAAGTACAAGTCCAAATTCTTCCACAAATGTGTCCCCAGCCAACTTTGCATCCTACAACTCTCTAATTGTCCCAACAATATGGTTGAGGTGTCTCTTACTTTCCTGGTACTTTGTCACTGTGGTCACATTACTCACACTGGACCTTCTACCCACATGGTCCTTGTCCATCACCTCTTACCTTTCTGCCAAATAGCTTCTCCAAATCAGTTCCATCACAGATTCCTGGCAGATGGGTCTAGTGGCAAGGCATCTTCTTGTTATTTAAATCTCATAAACATACCACCAGCACTTTTAATTTTTGCTTCAGGGTTATGTTTTTCTAGGGGAGTCGGGGGTATTCAGAGAATGAGCCTTTCTTTGGGTGAATTCTGTGTTTAATTCTTCTTTATGATCACGCAGGTCATTTAAGAAATATTGGTTGATTGAGTAAATAAGCAAATGAGACAATTAAAAATAGATTACTCTTCCCTAAGAATTTCAGGTGTACTCTGTCATTTAATCCCTTTAATCAGCTGTGAGATAGGCATCATTATCCTGAAGGGAATCCTGAGAGTCAGACACACAGTGACTGGAGAAGAAGAGGGAACGGGATGTATAGAGCAGCAGGTCCTGTGCCTGCCACTTTATAGGTCTGTTGGATCCTCACAGAAATCTTGCAACAATAATACTAATGTAGTTTTGAAGATAAGGATATTAAGATTCAGAATAGTTAAGCAGTTTGCCTACAATCACATGGCTGGTGAGTCTCAGAGACATGGATTTATAATCTTTCCCACTGCAAAACTTAAGATCTTTTTTGGTCTACTAAGTAAACACTATATCAGGACAAAGCATGGGTCTCCTAGTACCATGTCTTCTTCTCTATTATGTCTTAGTGAAAATAATTTCCAAGGAACAAAGAAAGCAAAATAAAGTAGAAAGATAATTATAGAATTAAATATAAAAAAAAGAAGTTAAGTCAAATGGGATTGTTTCATACCTTCATGAGTGTGTGTGTGTGTGTGTGTGTGTGTGTGTGTGTGTGTATGCATGCATGCACGCACGCACATGGGGTGAAGATGGGGCACCCATTGGCTTTCAGCCAAAATGTTCCAAGATGAATAGGAGATGACAAAAAATTGTTAGGTTTGCATATGTGGATTTCACCTTAATTGTAGCATTCTGCTATCAAAGACAGATAGTTATGAAATACCATGCCGAGGAGACAGCAAAATGGCAATTCATTTTGAAAATTCATTGCCTGTCTCAAGGAAGCACTTTTCACTATCTAAATCAGCCTGTGAGTTATGGTCTCAGAATAGAACATGTCCTGGGTTGATCCAGACTGCCACCGCAGGGCAACATCCAGGTCTGTGCTCTCTGAAGAGCTGGCAGAAGCTCCACGCTGCATTCCCTGTGCTGGGCCTGTGGTTTGCACAGTCGACATGAAGATCTAAATTCTGCAAATCTAATGCAAAAGGAGGCAATTTGCTTGGTGCTGTGGCAAAAAAAAAAAAAAAAAAAAAAAAAAAAAAAACCTGTAATCCCGGTGACTTGGGAGGCTCAGGAAGGAGGATTGCAACTTCTAGGCCAGCCTTAGAGACTTAGCAAGATCCTGCCTCAAAATAAAAATTTAAAAAAAAAAAGGCGGAGTGAAA